AAAAAAAAAAATGGATATTTGATGGCTGCAGTGAGCGGTATGGGCCCAGTTGGGTTCTACTTTATAGTATGCTCTTTTTACCCAATGGGGTTTAGGCCTAAAGTCAGACTTGAGTTCATGTATAGGTATGTGTCAGTTGCGATAACTATTGGATATATTTAGACTAATTAAGATCACTGACAGATCATTTGGGGAGGGGGGAGGCACGGAGGGCAATCGGGGATGACAGGGACAATGTGGGAGGAGGATGGGTCATAACAGAGGGAGGGGGATGGGGAATCTAGGATGGTAAAACAAAAGGCAAGGTATGCAGGACACAAGAATTGGGAAATTATTTGCTGAGAACATATATGTTGACGTGCTTGATTGAGCCAATGCACAGTATATCTTGGATGGAAAATTCATTTGTGTGTTGCGATGGGAAAAAAAAATTATAATAAAAAATAAAGAGAAAGATAGCAAGTGAACAATAGAGAGGATGTTAGTGAGAAACAGATATGGTTTATTATCTGTTGAAGATGACGTGTATAGTATTCTCAACTGGACTGGTCTGGGAAGTATTTCATGATGGGTGAAGTCTTTTAACAAGCAAAATGAGAAACAGTGATTGTCTGCTTTAAAAAATTATAATAATAATAATTATTGGGAAATGCATGGAAAAGACTTTGAATGATAAAGCGGGGAGATCGATGCCTCTGTATTGACTGACATGCATGGCATTCCCTTTTGAAAAAGCAATGGAAGTCAATGTAAAGTTATATGTAATCCAATGTAATAAAAAAAATAAAAAAAAAAAGAAACACATGCATTTATTAACTGAAAAAAAAAAAAAGAGGAACAGGAGAGCTCCTCGGAGGGACCTCAAGTAGTTAGAACAGGTGTCCTGGAGCCCAGCATTGCTGGTGGGACTGAGCAGAGGAGATGGGAAAGGCCGTGTGGGGCCAGCTAGGTGGCCTCAGCTCAACAAATGGAATGAGGAAATGGGGTGGAAGGAAAAAACCGTCCCAGTGTCAACCCTAGGAAATGTGTTCACGGTACAGCCATGGTAGCCCGTGACGGCAGTCCCAGCTACTCAGGAGGCTGAGGCAGAGAGACTGACATACAGCAAAACTCTATCTAAAACATCACCACACACACACCACCACCACCAAAAAATATACTAGAAGAGTCTGCATTGTTGATGCCACTTCTGCTCCTTGATATTTTTTTAATAATTATTTATTTTATTTTTTAATTTGATCAGAGAGACAGAGGGTGAGAGTGAGAGAGAAAGGAAGTGAGAAAGCAAGCCGCCAGATTCAGGACTTGACCCTCAGTCGGCCATGTGGGAGTATCCAGCGCCTTAGCCACCACGCCACCTGCTGGTCCCCAATCCTTGATATTTTGCTACTGCGTCTCATGGTGGGCAGGAGATGGATTCTGTCTATTCCTTTGACATGAGCATGTGAAGCCTTGAGGAAGAATTTCAAGGTGGTGAAGGTGTTTGGAACGAAAGTTCCAAGGCTCCAGGCCTCCAAGGGCAGTACCAGGCCCACTAACACCTGTTTTCTGAAGGGTTATGTCAGCCCTTGTTTTCAAGATCACCACCAGGGAGCTTTAGCCAGGGTGGAGTTAGGGCAGCGGGTAGCAGTGAACTTTCTGTGTAATGTCCTTCAGAACTTCTCTCTTTTCTGATGAAATCTAAAGAAGAAAAGGCAGTCATATTTTCTGAGATGCCTCCATCAGGGCATGGAGACCTCAGCACTCAGGAACCCACAAAGGAGATAACTACCCCAATGGGGAGGTCTGTAGGGAAGAAAGAAAGCATGAAGTCGACCTGTTATTCAAAAGGGATACTGGTTCCCGCTCACCCCTCCGTGACCGTCAGCACCCCCAGCACAGGCACTGTGCCAGTGTGGGCTCATCCTTCATTCCTCAGCACAGACCTGACCTAACATAGGCCCAAAAAGGACTTTCAGATGAGTGAGTGCTGAAACACCCTTTCTGAGTCCAGTAAGGTGCTCCCCTTCTCCCAAGCTCCCTGATCTTCCCAGCCCAGCCTCTCACACCATCTCCCTGGTGAGACAGTGAATGAAGGCCACTTATAAATGAAGACATGGAGCCAGCACCCAGTCCCACTGATCTGGCCTGAGGGCTGGAGGGCAGGGCAGGACCTAGTCATTCCTGTCACTCTGGACTCAGGCCTGATCCCCTCGGCCAGTGCCCATTGAGTCCTAGGCCAGGCCTAACTTGATCAGACTCTCTGCCTCACACTGCCACCTTCTCCCAGGTGGAACTGGAAACGTGTGACATTTCTATTAACCCTCTTCGAAGACTTCAAATCCATTCACAGGTGCAGGCGAATCCCTGAAGGGGAGAACTTCCACAGCAATAAAGTAAGAAAGTGAGGGAAAAGGGTTCAGAAGACCATTCTGACGGGGGGGAGCCAGCTCCCATGGCTTTACAGTTGCTGGGGGAGGTTTCTCTTAATGAACTCATGTGTCAAATGCATTTCAGTAAGAACTTGGTGGGTAAGAAAGGACAAACCACTAACACGATACACAGGATCGCCATGCCAGAGCTCTCTGCTGGCATGCAGCCTTTGGGCTGAATGTCATTTCTGAAGAGTATGTCAGTTGTCAAGGGAGACATTCTGAATATGACTGGTTCTATCAACACTCATGTTGTATCATTTTTTTAAATAATTATTTTATTTATTTATTCTAATTTGACCAGACAGGGGACATAGTGAGAGAGAGAGAGAAAGGGAAAGTGAGAAAGCAAGCTACCAGGTCAGGGACTCGAACTGTGGTCTGTCGTATGGAAGTCCGCACCCTTAACCACCACACCATCTGCCAGCTGGTATCATTTAATTTTTAACAAAACTTATGAAATGTTGGAATTCATTTTGTTACTGTATTTTTGAATGTTTATCTAGTGTTTCCTCTAGGGTTTATGATATGTGTCTTGACTTTTATAGTATACATCGAATTAATAATAATTCATATAAAGAATAGAATGACTTATCCAACATCTTCTTTTCTCCCTTTGTGCTATTATTTTCACATATCTTTCACATCTAATACAAAACAAACAAAGCGAACAACATGCAATCTTACGTCTTCATACAATCTTATGTCTTTTAAATTTTTAAGAGAATAAGGGAGAAAATACAATGACTTATTCCTGTGTTTTTAGCTTATTTAGTCTGGCACTCTGCATTTATTCCAGTTGACATGACTTGCCATGTGGTGTCATTTTCTGCCAGCTCAAACTATTTCTTTTTTTTTTTTTTAAAGAATTATTTATTTAATTTTATTTATTCATTCATTTTATTTTTTTAATTTGACCCGAAAGACACAGAGAGAGAGAAAGAGAGAGAGAGAGGGAAAGTGAGAAAGCAAGCCACCTGGTACGAG